GTGTCTTTTGTCATTCCTGCAGCACTACCGTTTAACAAACCAATTCACAAGTTGTAGTTCTTATTCTCAGCCAATTGGAAAGAAAACTCCAAACCTGGGCCTGCATATTTCAGTGAAGAAAATAATCTTACAAAACATGTTTGCAGAAAAGAACAAACACTTTATGTCAGTGCTTCAAAGTAGGCTTTCAAAGTGTATCCTCTGATGGAAGATCACACCCTTTTCTTGTTTATGTGGTGAAAATGGAACTATTTACAAATCCAGCTAGTGATACCCGATGCTTATGATTAACTTACTGTTGGAAGTGTCCTTTCTGCCCTCCTTGGGTGCAGCATACTCTTGTTTTGGCAGCTATTCTTTTTCTCTATTGTACTTCCATATTCTAGCTTGTCTGTCTCTCACATGTAGGAATGAAAAATGCCACTTACATTCTTCTGTGAACTTAAAATGCTCACTTAAGTTCTTTTCCAGGCAGGGAGTCTACCCATTTATCAGAAACAAGTTTTTGACTTACCTTATTGTTAATGATGAAAACCGTAGAAGGCTGCTGTTTTGAGCAGTCATTGCTTAATCCATGGTATGTCTTTATTCTGACAGTTCTAGGGAGATGTCTTGGCAGATGTTGTGAAGGCCTCTATCCTTCACTCATCTAGCTGTGAAACTACTAAACTAGCATTATACTCCTTAATTGTGGAATGTATGGAAGCAGGTTTCAATGAAGGCTTAAAAAAATAACTTAAAAATCTATGTTTTGAATAAAGGTCCCCTGATGGGATTTTAATTTTTTTTTAGGGTAAACTCTTCCCTCCATTTATAAAACTGTTTTTCTTCGGATATCTGAGTGGCTTGACTTGGGATCATAATCTTTAAAACTACTTTCTGTTGTTACGAGCTCTTGTGTTTTTAGAGGGAAGCTCTTGGCTGCATACTGACCATAGCACTTCATATTTTTATAAAATATTTTCTGGACTTTTTCACTTGTCCTACTTTTAAGACTTGAAGTAGTACTCTGTGAGGAGGGAGTTCAGAATCTCACAACAGTAGATTCAGATTTTCAAATGTTACTAAACATAGGAGCTGATTTGGTTGAAACCAAAACGATGCAGTTCAAGGCATTATCACTTGGAAAGGGTTACTGGTTAGTTTAAAAGCAAATGCTGTCTTCAGGAAATAGGAAGGCAGAGAATTGCCAGCAAGTAACTATTGCACAAAAGTTTATTTTAAGCTACACACTTGCTTTGTGGAATTGTTGCAAGTCAAATGTGATTTGGTTGGTTGTAGAGCAAATTCTTTTCTAAAGTAGGAATAGTCTGTATAGGCCAAGTTAAACTTAAATTTGTTTTGGAACAAAAGGATAGGGTGGGGAATTGATTTTAATTTGAGGCAATTATCCTATAAGGTTTATATTTGACATAGCACTTAAGGGTGAATTACGATTTAACTTCCCGTTACTGCCCTTACAACACTAGTGATGTTGATACAATTCAGTGTCTTGGGATGTAACTCAAATGTCTTTTTTTAAACAGATTTCAACTGAAGTAAGGTACTGTTGTTCTTATTTGAAGAAGTTGGTACTTTACTCTGTTACGCCTGTAAGATAAACAAGCAGTTCCATTATTAAAAGCCTATGGACTGTTTATTTTGAGTTTGACTGTGCTTCTTTGCTGTAGACATAAGTTATCAGACATCAGAGTTTATATTATGCATTTAGATTTTCTTATCTGAATTATGTTCTGTTCACTTGTTTCTTGTTGCAGGGAAATTCTAAAAAGAACAAAAATCGATAGCTTTCAGCTAATCAACTGTCTTCGGAAGCTGCTGCACAGGATGCAGATAGTGAATGCTCATTGTCCCATTCCTGTTTGTTCCGGAAAGCTCAGCGTCATATTGGGTCTAGTAAAAACTGATTTGGTGCTGTAAATGGCTTTAAAATACTTAGAACTTGTAATAAATCAAACGGAACTTAATGTTGACTCTAAACCAGGAAATACACACTCTGTCGATAATTTATATAGTAATTACCTTCAGTTTTTACTGTGCACTTTTTAAAACCAGGTTTTAATTTCATGTAATAACTTCAGATTTTGTATATTTTCAACTATGATTATGCATTAACAAAATTGGATCAGTGCAGTAGTTGTCTATTTGAGTTTTGTTAAATTGTCAACGTGTACATTCCTTGTTAATAACAGTTTAAAGATTAGTTTGGAGACTCTTCTGGCCATGCAAGCTGTGCAGTTACTGTAAATGTATTAGTCCTGTTCTCAGCCCTTTTGAATTAATTGGAATTGTGGCTTTAAATTATTTCTATCAACTCACACAAATAAATGGGATCACTGTTTCATTTTAGACTCCAATAGTGGAAACTTTTGCTGCTTGTATTTGGCACTTTGGATTTTGAAGTAAAGAGCACAAATAGCTGAATTGGGATACTTCTATGAGATTGCTTTAAGCCCTTACTTAGGCATTTTGTTTACATGTGTGTGTATATATATTGGTTGAAATAGCTGATTAAAGCCTAGAGGAAATTGTGATTGTAATTTGCCCCAAAAGAGTGAAACAATGTGTGTGTAGAATAGATCAGCTTACTGTGCTCTCTCTCTTACAGTAAAGAAGAATATGAAATATGTAGAAGATTTAAACAGTGAATTTGCAAAAAACCTTCATGGAATTAAGTCCTGATGGATTCACCGGGGGGGATGCACATGGCTTTTCCTGTGTTTTGAGAAGTTTGTGAACTTTAGGCCTCTCCTAAGATGATTATTTCTTTTTTTTTTAAGTGAATTCTAATACCACAAGTTTTCACAGCACTGATTTTTTTTTTTTATTTTATGTTTTTTATATTATTATTTGTTTAATCAGATGCTGTGCTGCTCCACACTTTACACTGATCTTCCTTTCCATAATTTGCATTATGGCACTTACTTGTCCCATAAGGGTTTACTCTGGTATCAGTTGTGTCAATATGTATTATTAGTATGTAATAATAAAATCAACTACATGAAACCAGCTGCACTGCTTTCTTAATTATGGCTTATACCCAGGTTGCCCAGTGTGATAGTGTGGTGAGATGTTAACATCTGTTCACAGTGAGGTAAGCTTAAGTAATTATACCAGTCTAGTTACTCCTAGTAGTACTTCTCTTTGAGCCAGGCTGCATTTCTGTGTCTAATGCTGCAGTGTGCGAAGTACACCATGTGCAAGTTAGCATTTTTCACCTTCTTGTCTGCTCAAAGGCAAACAAGCATCCAGCTTACATTGATTCAACTGTGGAGCTGTTCTGGTACAGTTTTTCCTTTTAATGACAGCATGGATGAGGTCATGAAACTGGGGAGGAGATGGGGAGAGCCTGCAGGGTTTCTTATTAGCATCATGTTGAATTAAAAACTACATGGTGGTGCTAATGAGGGTTGGGAAGTGTTTACTTTCCAGCCATTTTAATGAAGCAGATACAGCTTCAACTGTTTCATTTAGGGTTGGAAGAAAATTGCTTTCTTCCAGTTCTTTTGAAACTGCCTTTTCTGAGGACTTTCATCATGCAACGAAGGTATTAATTTGGTTGTTAATTTAATTCTCTGAATCAAATTGCTGAACTTGTTGCTGATGCTACTTCTCATAGGTGGCTACATTGAGAAAAAGGTTTTGCTTATGCTGTTTTTGTCAGGCTTAAGTAAAAATGTGCTTTGAAGACTGAGAGTTTAAAAATGTGCATAAAAAGGATAAATGTAGCTTACCTCGAAGTATGTTTACAACAGAGTATACCCCTAATATGAAAACATGAATTAAGATAGAATGTGTAGGCATTTAGGTACAATTGCAATATACATCAGTTTATCAGCATTTTCTTCTTGCAGTATCTATGTGGAAATGTATTGGGTGTCCCCTTCACTATCAGCAGTAAACATGCTCAGGAAGAGTCAGTTTTGATCACTTGAGCTGCCTTCAGTTTTTCAAGGAAATGTTTTCAAGTAAGTTTCAGACTATCATAAACTATCAACATACAAAAATAGAATCTTGGAAAAAATAAACCAGTATTTTGGTTACTATTGTAATAATGCTGTGGAGGGACATAGTATATTAAATGTAACTTTGTGGCATTAGAAACTGGAACAAGTGGAAATGCCCAGCTTGTGCTCATCAGCTCACCAGGTGGTTCTGAATCAGTTTCTGAGTATCTTAAATGCTCTTAAATATCAGCTCACCAGGTGTTCTGAATCAGTTTCTGAATATCTTAAATGCTTTTAAATATCAGCTCATCAGCTTACCAGGTGGTTCTGAATCAGTTTCTGAATATCTTAAATGCTTTTAAATATCAGCTCATCAGCTTACCAGGTGGTTCTGAATCAGTTTCTGAATATCTTAAATGCTTTTAAATATCAGCTCATCAGCTTACCAGGTGGTTCTGAATCAGTTTCTGAATATCTTAAATGCTTTTAAATATCAGCTCATCAGCTTACCAGGTGGTTCTGAATCAGTTTCTGAATATCTTAAATGCTTTTAAATATCAGCTCATCAGCTTACCAGGTGGTTCTGAATCAGTTTCTGAATATCTTAAATGCTTTTAAATATCAGCTCATCAGCTTACCAGGTGGTTCTGAATCAGTTTCTGAATATCTTAAATGCTCTTAAATATCTAACTTGTTACAGAACAATGATGTGTTACTGAAAAGCTGAAGGCTGTCTTCAACATTGCAGTGAAGAATTCATCTTTGAAACAAAGTTTTCCAAAAACAGCATTTGAACTACTTTGTTTACATTAAATGGTCTGTGCATATTATTATGGAATGCACAAAATTTGGGCAAAGAAGTTGTACTAACACTGGAATTACTGTTCAAAACTTCCTACTTGATTAATCAGGAACCTAATGACAAGCTGTTGTAAGGCAGGAAAATTTTTAGAACACTACAGTGTAAAAGCAGGGTTAAAGAAAAATCCCAATGCTAGGTGATTTTTTTTTTTTAATGGACAGCTGATTGCAACACAGGTTTTGAAAGCATTTTTAGAGCGCTAATTCATTTCTCTATAATGTTGAGCACCTCATGAATAAGCTCTTACACTCATGAATAAGTAACCAATTCAGGAAAACAGCACTATTTCCTATTAATGGTTTTAATAACTGGATTTTCAAAAATTCTTTCAGAACTTTGTTTTAAACCTGTACTTTTTAAAAATGTTTAGCTATCCTAGATATCTGAAAATACACCCATAGTAACTGTTCTGTGTGTTCAAAATCAGTATTTGCTATAACTAAGAATGAATTTAACTTCTAGATTGCCCTCTTAAGAGCTACTGCTTTATGAGTTTTGAAAGTACCCAAGCAGCACCAAATAAATTGGCTATTTTAAAAGGCCTTAAGCTCTTACAGGTCAGGAGTTTCCCTGCCTGAAAGATTAACTTCTAAAACAGGAGTCTTAGGCTGACATCATCATAAGCTGCATAAGAGTGTCATCGCGTTGCTGTTTAAATAATGATGTGATTATTGTAAGTCATTACATATGTAAGTATACATCTGTGATTTAAGTACTGGTGATCCCTAGTGCTGATTTTTAAAATAGTTTTGTAATGTCTCATGCTAATTCCCTCAGATTCATTCTTAACGAGCTCAACACTTCAACACTAGATGCAGCATCAGTATGAAGACTAGAGCATTTTGCTTTCCCGTCTTTATTGAAATACATTGGCTGCTTACACAAGGTATTTTCCCTTCTTATCAAGCCAGCTTCATTTCTGATTTATACTTTTAATCCTGGTGTTCTTTCTGCTCCAACTTCCCTCACTGACAGATGAATGGAAGTTTTGGTGGGGAAAGCTCTTTGGCTTAATATGTTTCCTTGATGCTGACTTTGTACACAGCAGGGGACCATCACCATTCAGCAGTGCTCGCTACAGCTCCAAAGAACAGATTTGCTCAGCCATCCAAGGCACCAGTTGCAAACAGGAAAGGCATCCACACATCATCTATCCACACATCACCTTCATGAGACTGGAGAGGTTCTTTACTGGCTTGGTTGAGCAATATGAACTCTCTTTCGGTTTCTTAATAATATAAATCCAATGATATATTAAACTTTGGAGAACCATCTGGCCCTGTAAACTGGGCAAACATGTTCCCTAGTATAGTATGTATATAAAGTAATTTGAGAGCACTATCTTAGCAACAGCAGGGTCATAATAAAAATAAAGCTTAGTGCAGTAAAAAATTGTAATTGGTACCAGAGGTCTGATTACTTCCTCCCACAAAGGCTAGACGCCGCTCTATTAAGAATGCTTGCTTTGTCTTATTCTGCATTTCCTGCCTCTGTTACAACTTGCAGTATTACTCAGCAGTGAATTAAAACCATGTTTGTTTAGAAGAGGCCATGTTTGCCCTCATTCCTGAATATTTATTTACATCGGAGTGTTAGAAACTTACGTTAATTGTGCCTGCAGAACTGCTAGCTCAGTCCCAGATGGGGACAGAGAAGAGCTCTTGAGGACCTTTGTAAACCAAGACCTGACTGGGGCTATAGAATCCACCACATGGAAACTTGCCTGGGGCAGATCTCATTGTTTGCCTCTGCTCTGTGTGTGTAGGCAGCTTTAGACATGTCAATGCTAATTTAGAATCACTGGGCTTCTTACAGAAGCTTTGAGTGCAAATACTGTAATACTGAGGTTAGGCAGCTGAGCTGTAACACAAGAAGCTGTTGATTCTGGTTGGGTTTCATTTGCATGGCAAGTTACCATCCTAACATCCTTTTTGAGTTTAAATTTTAGCTCTAAACTTTTTGTATGTGAAATTCAAGA